TAATGTTGATGAGTTGGATTGCTTCATCATAGATTAGTTGGCTTTGTTTTGTATGAGAGTTATTAAGAGTAAACCAGTATCCTAGGAATTTGAACGGCTGGTTGGCAGGAGTAAGTGTGAGTGATGAATTAAAGAAATGAATGGGGGCTGTGGATGGGATGTTTGAGGTAAGAATTAATTTAGTTAGATTAATTTGTATGTCGGCTATATGGTAAAAAGAGGTGGCTATAGCAATAATTGTTTGTAATTCTTCTTTGGATTTGGCTATCCAAAGTGTGTTGTCCATGTATGCTAATACAGATACTGAGGTTTGAAGTTGTTGAGGCTTTGGCTGAAACAGACTAGTGTTTTACTTTGTAGCCAAAGTGTATCCTGAAAAGTCCGAGGCTATTTTGTAATTAGAGGATCATAATAGATTCTCCAAAATAAAGGAGTTATAGTTTCTCCTTAGTTAATGCCATTTTTAACAGTGTATGAGTTAATAAGACCTAAATTTGTGATAACTTGGTTATGTCAATTAGTAAGCAAGTTGGTAAGAATATTAATAAGATTGGATGGCATGTTTAGACATAATAAGGATTTGGTAAAAAGTATTAGGTCTACAAAGTCATAAGCTTTGCTCATGTTCTAAGATAAAAGCCAAAGCTGTTTAGAATTACAAGAAGCTTCTTTAATAATGTTGTTAAGAATGTGTATTGGGATAGCTGTACTATTGCCAGGTAGAGCTATATAGTTAAAGGGTGATAAAATTTTGTAATAAGTAAAGATGTAGTTGAGTCAGTTAGTGAAAAGTTTGGTATAGAGTTTTTTGACATGTTTAAGCAAACTAATAGGTCTGGTATTAGTTAAATTGCCATCAAAAATAGGCTTTTTAAAAATAGAAAAAATTCTTTCTTTTTTTCATTGATTTGGAATTTGTCCAGATATGAGACAGCGATTAAAGAGAGCTGTGATTATATCAAGAAATAGTGTTTCAGTATGTTTGAGCATTTCATAGCTGATGCCTGATGGCCTACATGCTTTGTTGTTTGGGAGTTGGTGATAACTTCAAAAACTTCAGTTAGAGAAAATTCATTTAGTGTTGTTTGATACCATGTAGAGTCAATATTAGGTTTGGGTTGGTATTCTTGTTGCCACATTGTGTCAAATAATTGTAATTGGATGTTTCTAGAAGCTGTCCAGTCATCAAAGTATTGTTGAATATGCTGTTTGATAAGAGTTGGTTCAGTAATAATGTCATTTTGTTTTTTAATGTTATCAAATCTAATAGGATCTTTGTGTCGATTAAGTATATTATTAATTATTGATGTTGGACTGTTTTGAAGTTTACTACATCTTTTGTCTATATTATTATTTATTTGTTCTCTTATATTTTTGATGTTTTTCAGGTTACAAGCATGATAGAGTGTTTTCCATTCAGTATTAACTGCAGTTATCTAGTTGGATAAAAGGTTAGTATTATAGGGCAAAGTAGGTATATTAAAATAAAAGAGAGAGTTAAGCTGATCAATAACTTGATTGTGAGATGTAAGCATTGTAGTTTGGTTTTGAATTAAGGCTTTGGCCTGTCTTATAATATTGCCAAGTTTTTTAAGACATGTATGTAGTTTAGATGTCTTGGAAAAAAAAATGTATTGAAAGTTTCAAACTGTGAATTTTTTGTTAGAAATGTGTTGCAAAGCAACTGCAATAATGCTTTTTTGAATTTTGTACCATGAGGCTTCAAGTGATTCTGTGGTGGTGTTAGTTGTGGAAACTAAAAAAAATCTTTACTTAATAAAATCTTCTTTAATTTTTAAAAAACTATTTTAACCAATCATATTATTGAATAAAATAAGTTAATTATTTGACTTAAAAAATATAGTAAAGAATTGACCAACTTTGATAAAAGATTCTTTTCACTCTGCTTAAAATTAAGAACTAAAAATTTAAACAAAAAAGTATTAAATGCTAAAGAATATATATTTAAAATTTAAAGAAAGATTTATATATATAATTTTAAATAAATTTAATTTAACTATTTTTTTTGCATAAATTTATATATAAAATTAAGTAAGTCAACTTATTTGATTTATAAATAATAACATTTAGATGAACATGTCCTATAACTGTTAATAAAAGTCAAAAAACCAAAAAGGTTATCTTAAAAAAAAAAAATATATATATATATAAAGGGAACTGCTATTCGCATCATAAAAACTTGCTATTCGCACCATGAATATGCATAATGTTGATCGATTCGATTATATCACAAAATTCTTATGTAAATCATCCGATTATATCATATAAATTTTATTATATCACAATAAAATATTTAACATAATCATTCGCGAAACTAGAAGTTGGAACTGAATTATGAAATTCGACTTCAACTTCGGGTTAAACTGATTTAAGTAATAAATCGTTTCGTAATGTTTTTTAAATTAGTATTCAGTTTTATTTTATTTTCTATCAAATTTCAAAATTACATGTTAATAACAATATGTCCAATATAATAAAAAAGTAATTTCAGGTTTTTCTTTTCAGCTAAATATTTATCTGATGATTTGAATTAAATTCAGTTTAAGCCAATTCGGTTTCGCATAAATCAGATTTTTTCATAATCGTATTTAAACAATTCGGGTTTTAAATTTTACAACTGATTCCGACCTCTACGCGAAACTCTGAGATTTTAAGACTCAGATAAATTCGATCTATGCCTCTTACTAAATAGTTTTATAGTTACTATACATGTATTGAATTAACAATACATACGTGCAATTAGTAAAATTTATATAGTTAATTTTATAGGCAAACTCTAATAATTAGAGTTAGAGCAAAAGTATTACTATTTGTAAACTTATTAGACAAATCAATTTGATTTAGAGGATTTACTCTGTTATTGTAAATTTTATATAAATATATAGGCTATGTTATATGTATTTTTGTATAGTATTATTTTACCAAATTCTATATGTAACTATTCTTTGTACAAATTTTAAATACAAATGCTATTAATTTTTCTTAATTAAACTTATTAAATATATGTAAAGCCATATATTAGGGAGTAAAATAAATATAGTTACATGCATTTAATTTATAAGGTAGTCTTCATATATATAAATGTGGAGTTGGAAGTAATCGGGTATACATATCACTCTCAATAATATTAAACTTCATGTTTATAACTGTATAACGATAATAAAAATTTATTATAGTAAAATTCAATTTTTATAAACAATATGTCATTAAAAATATATTAGGCTTGATAAGAAAACTTTCGTGTATATTTATTAATATCTCAACCTTATGATTTTTGTCATATTTAAACCTCATTATCTATTTTGAACGTTACAAATAATCCTATATTAAAAGCTCCATAAATTACAAATCACATATTAATTGCAGACTATCTTATGTGCAGATGTGAATTAAAACCTGAGTTTAACTTGGAACCGAACTTTAAAAAGACAGCATTAGAATTAAGACTAGATATGTATTATGAAAATCACTATAATGAAAATTATTACTAATTTGGAAAGTAATAGTAAGATACGTACAATGTGGTGAAGTGAGGTGGCAAAATATTAACATTTATTTGGAAAAGCATGAGACTTAAATCAGATACTATGAAAAAAGTAAAAATTAGTTGCACAATAGTATTAAGTAAACTTGGCAAGCAAAAGCAAGATATAATGTGGCAAAGTGAAGTAGTAAAATAATGATAATACTTATCTTGGAAAAGCGTGAGACTTAAATCAAATACCATGAAAAAAGTGAAATAAACTGCAAATTAGATAAACTATAAATATTAAAAAAAAAATAAAGTATATCAATATAATAATCATTAAATTGCACATTGAATATGCTAGGATGATTAAAAAAAACTACAAATAGGTTAGTAATATTAATTGTAATATAAAAATATCGAGTGGCAAAGTGTAATAATACTTATCTTGAGAAAGTATTAAATAACGTATAGATTTGAAAGTAAAATAATCAATATATTTTATGATAAATGAGAAAGTGAAACGATTAGATTAGAATTATTATCAAAATTAGAAAAACAGAATGAACTTTTACCTGATTCATGTAAAAGCCTTATAGCTTCTTGTTCGAAGCACATATAATCAAATAAAAAAAAAAATTTTTATTAGAATAAGTTTTACTATTTAATTATATAAAAAGAACCATTTTGCCATACCTGTAAGTCTGTGAATAAAAGCACAAAAGTTATAAATTGTTTTTGTCTTTTGCTCTTGATAAGTTACTTTAATTTGTCCATTGAATTGCTAAATATTTCTGCGAAATAAAGATTTATTTTTAATTAGTCACATAGTATATAGATAACTCTATAAAAAAAAATTTTTACTTGTTGATTTTTAAATAAATGTCTTTGCTTCCACCTTCATCTGGTTGTTTTGTAAGTCGCGAAGCCCTCATTCAACATGTCCAGGAACATGCCTTTAGCAATAGATATACTGTGTGTATTAAACGATCAGAATGAGATAAGTTCGTTTATTTGCTCTGTGATAGAAGCGGTATCTATAGAAACTCTTTAAATCTTACAGATGAGACTCGGCAAAGGGCCACAAGCTCATGACTAATAGACTGTCCTTTTGAACTATATAGAAAAAAAAAAGATGGTCAATGGTATCTAACAATAAAGAATGCAAATCATAACCATGAGGCATTAGAAGATATGTCAGGCCATCCATCAAGTCGACGATTAAGCATAGAAGAGCAACAAAAAGTCCAGCAAATGTCTGCATCAGGCATCCGTCCTCGAGAAATGCTTTCTACTCTTCGTCAAAACAACCCAAATCTTGCTGCAATCTCAAAGACTGTCTATAATACTCTGGATAAGCTTAAACGTAACTATCTTCAAGGTCGTATACCAATTCAAGCCCTTTTTGATGAGCTTAAAGAAAAGAATTTTGAATATGACTAACAATATGATTCAAATGGTCATATAACTCATCTCTTTTTTGCTCATCCAGTATCAATTGCACTCATCAAAGCCTATAACTCTGTTCTCTTGATGGATTGTATATATAAGACCAACAGGTTTAAAATGCCACTTCTATATATTGTTGGTATAACATGCTTTAACTCCACATTCTCTTCTTGTTTCGCATTTTTAAAATCGAAACAGGATGATGATTACAAATGGGCACTCATTCGTGTTGCTCGTATTTTTAATGGTATTCAAACACCTAAGGTTATTATGACAGACCGCGAATTAGCATTAATGAATGCAATACGAATTACCTTCCTCGAATCTCAAAATTTTATGTGTTTGGCACATTGAAAAAAATGTGCTTTCCAAGTGCCACCATCATTTCCCTACAAATGAAGAATTAACAGAGTTCTTAAAAAATTGGACTACTCTTATAAAATCTCAAACAGAAGAAGAATTTAATAAAAAGTGAGTAGAACTAGTGAGAATATATAATGAAAAATTAACAATAATTAGATACTTGCAGGATGTATAGTTGTCATTAAAAGAGCACTTCATTAGTTGTTGGACAAACCACTACTTACATTTGGGCAACATAACAACATCACGAGTGAAGAGAGCCCATGCGATAATAAAAAAGTATGTTCAGGTATCAACTGGCAACCTCAGTACTGTTCATGAAAAAATCTCTTTGGCTTTGGAGAACCAACACCAAGAAATCCGAACTAATATTTCTCAAGAAATGATTAGAATTTCCCATGCCCAAAACCAACCATTTTACTCACAAGTAGTTACAAAGATATCTATATTCGCACTAAGGAAGGTACATGAGCAATTCATGAAAGTGTCCAGTGCAACTCTGAACAACCCATTACAGCCTTGTAGTGGTATATTCATGCTATCAATGGGCCTTTCTTGTTTCCATAAAATTCAAGAACAACTCAATAACAACCAATATTTATGACTTACTGATTTTCATGAACACTGGCATCTTCAGAGGCACCAATTACTTCCACAAACACTAGCAGGAACTGAAGAAAGTCCTCTACAACAAAGGTGGCAAGAATATAGCCAGCAATTTGACTCTTGGCCATCCAATCAACAAGAAATGGTTCTGGATGAAATGTCAAACTTATTCCAAGGGCCAGTTACAGTTGTGCAGAACCCACAGATCCAACATGTGAGAGGACGTCCAGTTGGAACAAAAAATACTCAATCATCTACTCAAAGAGACCTATCCACCTTTGAGTTAGATGATTCAGGAAGACAGATCAGGAAATGTGGTGTATGCCATAGAACCAGGCACAATAGTAGAACATGCCCTAATAATAGGGAACAGAATGAAGCATAAAATACATGTTAGTAAAATTTTAATGAATACTGTAATGAATAGATTAGATCGCCAATCTATAGTATGTAGAAATACTACTATCTTTCTTTTTATGTATACAGTTGGTAACTTGGCAATGGTTAGTAAAATGCTGTACGTAGTGTAAAAATAAGTTGCTACCCAGTAATAAAATATATGTTCCATTAATATGACCTATATCGATGATTTTTGATAAGTTTTTGTTCTGTAATAAGTAAAACTAAGTTTGTAATACTGTAATAATGATAAGTAAAAAAAGTTCTATATAGGTAAGAAAAGTAAAAAAAATTCAAAATTTTATTAGTTATTAGTAAAGATGCGGACATTAGAACATGTAATATTTGATGAAGGATAAATCATAAGTAATTATTACTTAATAAATTACTTAGTCCATCTTTAGCTGTAACTGAGTAGCTACCCTTGACCAGTGCACAAAATTGTGGCATGACATGTCCTGATTTTTTTCCGACGATCTTTCTATTAAATGGAATTTAGAATATCTAGTTAGAGATACGTATCAAGTCTATTTGTTATATTAATCTTAACAAATTTGGAAATTGTAACAGAAACTTTCTGATTATCAAAAAATCATACCGGAATTTTTTGAAATTAACCAGAATCTTCGGTATTTTAGTTGATCTGACAAATGTCTGCACCTCTAGTTATTAGGTTATACAGGATTCCTGGGATTGTGATATAAAAGAATCGATCGACATTATGCATATTCATGGTGCAAATAGTAATTTTCCATGGTGCGAATAGCAGTTCCCTATATAAAATACTATTAAATTTATATATAATTTTAATATAGTACACTCTATCTTTAAAATAAATTAATTAAATAAATTTTAAATAATTTTAATTTATTTATTTGTTCAAAAATGTCTACAATGTTTAAACTTTGTTTACAACTATCTTGTATTAATATTACTATAGATAGCATATAGTAAGAGCCTACAAATTACCTATTTTTAAGGCCTAGTCTGGCTTGTATTTAAAGTTAAAATTTTTTTGTCAGCTTAGCCTAGCCTATATATAATTATATATTTTTTTTAGACCAGTCTGGCCCAGTTCAGTTTGCAAAATTTCTTATATAATTTTGAAATTTTAGATTTGATCTGGTTTGCAATTATAAAATTTTGCTTTAGAACTGGTCTGGCTCATAAAAATTTGTTGGCTGTGCTAAGCTAAGCTACAGAATTCAATGCAGGCCTCTAGTATATAGCATAATATTAGAATATAAAAGTTTTTAGAAATATTATTATAAAAAAAAAAAAAAATTAAAATAAAAAAAGTAGGTTTAATATATTTAAATCAGTTGTTTGATACAAAAAATAAAAGACTTAGAAAATTTAAAAATAAAGATAACTAAAAAAAAAACTGAAAAAGAATATTAAGATTAAAAAATAGTAGAAATTTTAAGAAAAAATATAAAAAAAATAAAAACAAGTATACAATATATACAGATAGTATAACAAATATAAAAACTAAAAAAAAAATATTAAGCAAAAATATAAAAATAAAATAGGTTTAAATAAATAAAATACAAGATTAGTTTGAAGAAGAAATAGTTTAAAACTAAAAAAATAATTAATATTAATAATAGCTAGGCTAACAGTAATATAATCAATAATTTTAACAATACTAAAAAAAAACAAATAGAGATATATATAGACAATAATACTGTAATAAAAAATATTAATAAAAATTTAAAAATATATAAACAAAAATAAGATTTTTAAAAGAAAAAATATGATATAAATAATTATATTAATAATATAAAAAGACTTAAAAGAAGAAGAAAAAATTAAAGTTTTTCTATATATACTATATATAGTATTTTTTAAAAAAGTAGTATTACAAGATTGCAGCCTTCTTAGTATAATACAACCAAGTATAGTAACTTAGTAGTAGCAAATGACGGCGCAATCATGTGATAATCATCCTAACAATGATTGGCCATTAAACTCATGTGATGATCATTCTAATGATCATATTACACATACCATAATTGGCTAATAAATTATCTAAAAAATTGCGTAAAGACACAAAGTATAGAGTGAAGCCATAATGCAAGAAAAAAGCAAGACAACTTATGCATAAAATAGCAATCATTAATTACAAAATTTTTACATATTTTATATACAGTAGTCATATATGTTGAATATAATTTTTTTTATTAATAGCAGAAATTAAGCTAGCTTAGCCTAATCAAAAAGCAAGCTTTGAATTACATGATGGCTTCCAAGTTCTTTGCTATGTTCTGGCCATCAAAACCTCTTGACAAGCTTTCGTTTCAACTACTAAGGTCTGTCTCAATTTTTTATATGTATTATAGAAGTTGTCATTTTGAATATTATCAGTAACAATGTTTAGTAAAGATTCAAATATTTTTTTATCTTCTACTAACTCAATCTTTCTAGACTCGATTAATTCATTGCGATCATCAAAATCTAATTCTATACTACAGTTATATTTGTCTGTTAAATTCTCTAATTCATTTAAGAAATTTTTATTTATTTTAATCCAAGGATGATTTGCAGGATTAATACTTGTAGATGCTTTACCAAAGTAGATAAATAGGTAATCATGTCTTCTTGTTGTTGTCACGTATTGAGGAAAAAATTTTGGATCTTTATCTTTACATTCTTTAATGAAATGTTTACATACTAAATAAGCACTATTTATAAATGCAGAACACGAACAGATCCAATTATTGATATCTGTTAGGTATTCATTTTCTGATTTAATTTCTTTAGTTAATGCTTTTTTCCATTCATCTTTAAACTTATCCCACTAGGAAGGAAAAGCCCAATTATTATTGTAGCGATGCCAAGTATTTATTTGATTCAGAATTAAATCTCTTGTCAGAATCTGGGTTAGACGATCTAAATGGAGGCGATTGCAAGTATATTTATAGTTATATTTTAGAGTTCACCAATGTGATTCTATTAGCATTGTTGTTCTTGCTAATGGAATCGCATTTGGAAAAGAAGTCTGGAAAAAAAGATTTCAATCAGCTTTATTGTACCAGTTAATCTACAGATATCCCCACAAACAGACAAAATTTCTATCTTTGCAATACTTATATATTTCCATAACGCTTTCACGATAAATGTCAGCTGTGGTAAGGAAATTT